CTCACCGCCCCCCCTGACAGACTCAACGTTCTCCGAGAAGTCGTAAGAGTCCTCGTCCATTCTCCCGTCAAAGTGGTGCTCCCACCTGCCCTGTCCCCCCCCGTTGTCTTCCCCGCCGTCCTTGTCATCGGCAGCTGTAGGTTGTTTGCGTAGTAGCAGCCCGCCAAACCGGCTCTCCTCGGCGTCGCCGTCGCTCTCCCGTTCCCGGCTCTGCCGGTCGCCTTCTCTTACTCCTGCCGTCGCCGACGATATTGGTTCAGACGAAACGCTCGAGGCCGGTTCGTTGGCGTCTTCTCCTCCGCTGCCGTTGCCCATGCCGCAAACGCTGGTGCCATTGGTTCCACCGTGGTCTCCTGATGGCGGGAGATGGAAGAGGGCGACGTGTTTTTCATGTATTTCTCGAGAGAGCGAACACGAAACGGGACAGGACATGACCACGGGATTCTCCACGTTTCGACGTTGCGGAAACCGCTATAACTCTTCCATCCTAAAAGAAGCGCTATGTACCGATTCGAGCCACACTTGGGCATTCCAACCAAGTAAGGCAATGCGGACAGTACAGCAGCATCAGCGACAATATCAACATTGGTATCAACATCACGTCGACATCAACCACCACGAGCCGCATCTTGCTAACCTCTTCGTTTCCTCAGCGTGACCCTTGGCGGCACGCCATCCCCTTCCACGCCCACTCCTCTCCACGTGGTGCTCCGCCGTCCGCCGTCTTCCCCTTCTTCTTCTTCCGCTTCCTGCCTGCCCTCTTCCCCCTCCCAGCCCTTGTGCTCGCCGATTAATCTCTCGCTCCGGTCGCCGGCGGTGGCGGTGGCGGTGGCGGCGGCCCCTAGAGGAAACTCATTTTCTTTGTCCCGAGGTGCTGCCCGACACGCCGCTAGCAGCTTTTCTCAAGCGTGGGGGGGGGGTGTCAAGACAGATTGGATCCATACACGACAGACGGGCACGAAAGCGGATCAAAATTGCTTGTCGCAGAAGGATTACAGAAAGAGGCGGTGCTTCGGGGGCGGGGGTTGTCGAGCACAACGCGCACGTCAAGCACCGCGTGGGTGGCTGTAGGTGGGACACTACTGGTGTACCACTCTGGGCTTGCTCGTCTATCTGCAGCTTGTACATGGCGTGTTGTTCACGCCCATCGGGCAAGGGTCCTTACCGAGAGGCGAATCAGGAGTTGACGAAACAACCGAAAGCACTTGGGGCGATAAATCGCGAACAACCGATACCTCCTCTAGTCTCAGGGGCAAAGGACAGGTTGAGCAAGCATTCATGCCGCTCTAGTTTGTTCCGTGGGGATGTACTTTGTCGGGGCTGTATATTGTATTGATCGCCGGTTGGCATTGACAATACACACCACGACACAGAAGCCCAAGCAGTTGTATCGCGTTGCATATGTCACACCTGGAGCATCACCGGCGAGGTTTTTCCCTCAGGCGTCTTCATCTCGCCCTTTCCCACCACGGCACCATTCGCCACGATAGACCCGAGCTCCTCTGTCGACAAGAGGTCCTCTGTCGCCATGTCTGTCTCCAGCTTGAGGACGGAAAGGGTCTGGTGCAGCTCCCAGTGCTCCAAAAAGTCGGCCACGACTTGCAGCGACAGGCGGCCTGCACACATACGTACGTGTATTTGGCGGCAGTTCGGCGCGCGTGTTTTGACACAACAACGGGCGAACAAACGAAAATTCCATAAAAAAGAAAAAACGATTTTTCGTTGAGGGGCGTGTTTGCTGGATATTATCTAGCCCGGTCACAGGTGAGAAAACTCTTGTACAGGCGGGACTCTGTCAATAGTTTAACTATCAAACACACACACACACATGATGAGAATAATGGTAGCAGTGAAAGCATGGAGGATGATAGTCAAAGCACTCCAAAACGAGCTAGAGTGCAAGGCAGCAGCCTTCGTAAACGTGTGCAGTGGTTCTCTGTTGCTACCGTTTCTGTCTTTGATCCGGAGAATAGATTAATCTCCCCCATGCCGCCCCCTCACGGGGTCCCAGAAAATGGTATTTAGGAGTGTTTCGTGTTTTCAACCGCACTAAGACTGACGGCTTTTCATTGGTAAGCCGGTTATAGCGCGGTCGATGCTAACAATACAAAACAACACACACACACACATAGGTACGAAAAGACCCACACCGCAGGCCAATAGCCGAGTCGCGTGTCGCACCCACCGCCCACCACGAAAAGGCGAAAAAAAAATCAATCAAGTAGTTCCACTCCGCCGCAAGATTCGCGGACCGGGCAGCCCGGCAGGTAGCGCTACCGGCTACCGGCAAGTGATGACGACGTTGGGATTCCCCGGCCTTTCGCGTGTCGCATTTAGAATATATTATATTAAACTAAACACCTTGTCTTTCTCAGCAATCATTACCTACCCGCCACGGGCGTGGGACCCGCGGCTTGGAAGGCGTTCGACCATACATACCATTTTGACCGCGAAGTATAGTAACAATTTTTCCCCCCGTCGCCCCCCCCCCCGGTGTTTGCCATCGGGGCTGGGTTTTTCGTCGCTTGGCAGCGACGTTGCAATACAAGTCGATCACTTCGTGAGCCCGGCAACCAGGTTACCGTTTTTTTTATTGCCTTTTTTTTTTTTTGCGGCAACCATGAATGGTGGTCGAGTAAATCATGTTG